TTCAAAAATGAGGTTAACTAGATGTTCTCTGAGGGTCCCTCTAATTTTAGATCTATCATCCTGCAAGCCTGTATATAAAGCATAAAGAGATTTCTGGAGGGGGGCGGAAATCCATAGACTCGGATTCAAAAGTCAATTTTTAAAAACAAATACTTCTTATGGTCTATAAACACCTTTCTGCATTGATTTATGAGTTATGTGCTAGAGTATGGTTTGACTTTTGCCTAGTCCTTTCTTGAAAATTATATTTATGAACTCTTCTTGTATTCCTTTTTTTGGGGAATGGGGGGTGGGTAGAAATGCCTCCTGTTGAAGGGCTGTTAACATTAACAATTTATGTGTGAAAAAATCTTGCTTGTCTCAGTGTATTGTTTTGCTTTGCAGGGGTCACTTTTTGGCTTTTTGGAATATCTTTATGTTCTTTAATTTTTTGTAGTAATGATATAACCCTAAATTATTTGGTTGAAGATTCTTCAAAGTTGAAAAACTTCTTGCTGTTTTCCTTAAGCTTGGTATTCAAATTTTTTAATTTGTCATATTCTTATGGGAGACCTGTGACTTTTAAATATCTGTGCATCACCTCTTCAAAGAGGATTTTTTTTTGGCACATTAAGAAATTAATGTCTTTCATAATTTTGTCTCTTGCTTTTTGCTTTTGAATTTTCTTCTGCATTTTTGAATTCTGCACTGGGGAGAGACTTGAGGCAAGGAGACCAATTAGGCTGTTGCAATAATGTAGTTAAGATGAATGCTTGAACTAAGATGCTTTTCTGTATGAGTGCAGAGAAGGGATCAATACAAAAGATGTTGTAAAATTATAAACAGCAAGATTTGACAACTGAATGGATATGTGGGGTCAGGGGAGAGTGGGGAGTTGAGGATAATGCTGAGATTATGAAGCTGGAAAACTGGATTGATGCTGATGCCTTTGGTTGGTGGGGACTCAAAAGTAGGGGTGTGTGGTGAGGTGAGGAAGCCAACAAATTCCATTGTGGACATGTTGAATTGAAATGCCTCCCTGGTAGCCAATTTAAGATATCTAATAGTTACGTTAGGACAAAGCTGAGGGGAGATAGTGGGGCTGGGTAATAGATCTGGGAGTCATCTGCATAGAAATCATAGTTAAACCTGTAAGAGCTAATAAGGTTATTGAGGGAATGTGTAGAGAGAGAATAGAAGAAGGCCTACTACAGAACCTTGTGAAACACCCAGTCAGAGGACTTGGTATAGATGAGTTAACCAAGGACACTGAAGCAGCTATCACACAGGGAGGAAGGAGACAAAAGTCATAAAAATCCATGTAAGCGAGTATGTAGGATTAGGAAGTGATAGATAATGTCAAATGCGGCTGAGGCTGAGAAAATGCATCAAATTAGGCAATTAAGAAATTGTTGGTTGCTCTGAAAAGAGCAAACAAAAGGCTAATCAAGACAATTGCTTCAGCTGAGAAGCAGGGTAGACAATATACCCATACGCATCTTTGACATTTTTATGTAAGACTATCCAAAACCAGAAACAATAAATAGAAGGAAAAAGGATATAGCAAATTTTAAAAACTAAATACATTGGCATTAACCTTCCAAGAGTTGTATAGGATTTTTATGTTTAAATGGGGCAAGTATAATAAAGTAGATAATAATATAAAATTTATCTACAGGATTAATGTGATACCAATCAAAATACTAATGGAATGCTTTGTAGAACTAGACAAAATAGTTTTAAAAATCAATAAAAGAACAAAAGGTAAAAAAAAACAAAAAATCAAGGGAAATTTTTAAAAAAGAGAGAAAGGCAGATGGAACTTTGTGACATTGTGTGATAAATTGGTAAATATCACAATTATTTGTCACAGATCAATGGTATAGATTATATAAGAACCAAATGTACACTACAAACTAATAAATGCACAGTAGATGGAGCTTCATGAGTGAGGCATGGAAAGAAGGCATGTTTGACTAAACTTGAAAGTGGAAAAGAGAACAGTGTATAAATATGGTGAGAAAGGTAACTTGGGGCAAGACTTTTAAAAACTAAAGAGGAGAGAGTTGATTATATTTGATTCTAAAGGCAATAGAGAGTCTCAATAAAGAAGTTGGAGAGTGACATGGGCATAACTGCACTTTAGGAAAATCACTGTCTTTGGCTGTTGTGTGGAAGATGTATTGAAATGAGAAATTTGAAGTAGAGAGACCAGTTAGGAGGCTATTGCAGTAGTTCAGCTGATGAGAGCCTGAACTAGGGTGGGATGTTGATTGTGTGGGGAGAAGAGAATTGGTGTGAAAGATACTGGGAATGTAAAAATAACAAGATTTCACAACTGATTTTATATTTTGGTTTGAAAGTAAGACATTGCAAAGTTGTGAACTTTGATGAGTTCAGTAAACCCCAACAGACAAATTACTGGGGTATTCAACAAAATCTGTTGGGAAAATTGTAAATTACTTTTGCAGAAAATGGTGATTGGCAATCTAAATACGAAAAGTCATACTATCCAAAAATAATCGAAGGCAATAGCTTTCATTGTGAAAAAGGAAAGAGTTTTAAACTAATCTCTTATTTAGCCGCATAGAGAAGACATAACGAAAAGAGACGGTTTTGATTTTATGAAAATTTATCTATAGATACAGATACATGCACAAATAAAAGCAGTGCATCCAGAGAAAGAAAAAAGTGAGCAATAGTTTTTCAGTTAAGCATCTCTGATAAAAACTAGTTACTCCAAGAAAATTACAAAGTCATAAGAGTAAGAGTCATTCTCCAATAGATAAGTTGTCCAAAGATAGGAAATTTTCAAAAGAAACACAGCTAAAGAAATTAAGATTAAAACAACTCTGAGGTATCACCTGAAATCCATCAAAATATCAAAGGTGGTAAAAGATCATTTGGTGCTCATGAAAACTGTCTGTAAATTTATTGCTTGTGACACTGAATTCAACCATTTTAGAAATTTATGTGAGTTCCTACAGGATAGCTAGAGTTATATTCATAATATTCTTTGTATCAGGAATAAAGACTCTATCTGTGCAGCACTATTTATAGCAGTCCTGTTTGTGACAGCAAAAAAAACTGAAAGTAAGCTATGTAGCCAATGATTGGAAGAGGCTAAATAAATAGTTTTCCCTTCTACGTTGTTGGGGTTGGGGACGGAGAGCCCGTGATCTGGAGAATCCATATAAAATTTTTTGGCCCTCCTTTTGTATCAGAGAAGAATTTTTAAAAAAAAATTTTTTTCTCTTATGAAATGTTTACAGTACCATATTGTAAAATTTAGGTTAAGTATTTGGTTATGGGCAATTATACAATCCTACACATCTATTTTATACATTTCTGAGTTTTTAAACTTTTTCTGTGTTGTCTGCTGGCCTTTATATGTGGTCTGCAACTTCCACAAAACATCCCTAAAATTCCAGTTTAATTTTTTATGCTGACCCACAACATATTGAAACCACAGTGGGGAAAATTGTGATGCAGAAGGGTTAACTGTATACTTAAATATAGTGGAATGTTATTACATTTTAATGAATGATTATGTTGAAGAATACAATAAAATACCAGGAAACTGATAAGTGAAGGAGAGTGAAAAAATAGAACTAAAAGAATATACATTGAGGACTACTGCTTTGTAAAAGACATCAAAAGATTTCCAGAACTGATAGTAAATACAGTGCTCAACACTGGTGTTAACTTCAGTTTTTATACTATCTTCTTTTCTTTTAGCATCAAGTAACTGAAGGGTACAGGCATATAGCCAGTCATTCATAACCATTTAAAAAAATACTATTTTGTTTAATTTTTTTTTTACAGAGTTTGAGATGGTTTTGTTTTGCTTATTCTGTATTAATTTATCTTAAACATGTATGTATATGTATGTCTATGTGTATTTATTTGGATAAGAAACTTGTAACAAATTATTTTAAGTTCATGTTGTCTTTACACCCTTTTATTTCATTATTATGTTAACTTTAATAAGTTTACATGAAATTATTTTAAAATGTAATAACATTATGCTGACAAATTACATTTTTATTATACTTCACATCCAGAGAAATCGGTCCTTAAAAACATGAATTCTTGACAAATTTAACAACTTAATATCATGATGATAAATGAGTAGATAGTTTGTTGAGGTATATTTGCTTCAGAGCTAAATCAGTTTAATGAAGAGTAATTTTCATGATGTACTTATGTATGCTCATAAATACATATATGACTTGCAAATATACTTTGAAGAAAAAGTGCAGTTTGTTAGGAGGCTGGCGTAGCATCATTGGTGGTCTGGGGCCAGCTCCAGAAGGGGAGTTCCAAAGCTGAATGGCCTAGTTTCTTCAGGGCATTTAGCCTTTCAGGGTGTGGGTTCATAAGTTTCAGCAGTAGCAGGGCATGGTAGGAATGTGTTTCAAGAGTCTGGAGCTAGGTAGAGACAGTAGATTCTCAATAACAAGAGTCCTCTGGTGTGAGTTTCAGAGCTGAGTGTCATTATCTCCTCCAGGTCTCTGAAGGTTTGGTTCAAAGGATACTCCAACAAGTGATATCATAATCATAATAATAGAAATAACTAGCATTTACATAGCACTTTAAGGTGTATAAAATGTTGAACATATATTCTCTCATTTGATTCTATCTTCATAACAACCCTGTGAAGTGGAGTCTATTATTTTCCCCATTTTGCAGATCAGGAAACTGAAGCTGAAAGAGGTTGTGATTTGCCCAAAGTCACACAGCTTGGAAGTGACTGAGGCAGAATTCAAATTCAGATCTTCTGGACTCCTAAGTCCAGCACTCTATCCACTCTGCCACCTAGCTGCTTAACTAGGCATGGCAGGAAGATGACCATGGGTACAGGATTTAACTTTGATTTTTCAGAAATTCTGCCAGAATATTTTACTTATAAAATGTTCTTACTTATCTATTAATTAGTGCTCTGTTCACCACAAGAAAAGTCACAAATAATTTTTTTAAGCTGAAATATTTTTAAAAAGTAAATACAACTATTTTTGCAGGTACCTTGTGATCTATAATCCTTATGAACAAGAGCGTCACTCTGTGGTTTCAGTCTATGTGAGTTCATCAAAAGTTAAACTCCTCACAGATTCAGGAAAACCTGTCTTAATTCAAATTAGTGCTGTTTGGGAGGGACCCAATACAATTTCAAATGAGGCATATCAGGTATGTTACTTGTTTGTACCTCTCTCATACACTTATATTCTGTTTTGTTTTATTATTACTTTCAGGTGTATCGTATCTCCCCTACTATATTGTAAGCTCCTCAAGAGCCAAGATTGTGGAATTTTAAATCTTTGTGTGATTTGTTGCCTAGAAACAGTGTCTTATGTAATTGATGATTAATAAATATTTCAGTTTACCTTGTTACATTAAACACAATGTAGTCAGTATTATGTACTATTGGCTACATTTGGTTTGTATGTGTAAATAATTGAAATTATTAGTTACTATGCATGATATGGTTAAAATTAAAACTACTATCAATTCACATGTGATCTATAGTGTCATGTTTTATTGTCTTGGTTTCCCAGAAAAGTGTTATAGACTTTTCAGTTCTTAGTATTGTGGGTCTTAGTAATTCATGTAGTCTATTTTCAATATTTCTGGATAATTTTAATGCAGCTTTTACAATAAGGTTTAATGAATTAGAAAAGAAAGCCTTCTTAAACTGCTAAAATCACAAAAGATATAAGCTATATAATATAAACATTTCTGAGAATTTCATTAAGTAATCCATTTTAAATGATGTTCCAAATTTAACCCTACAGATTGAATTTTTAGTCTGGGATTTACTTAATTGGAATTATATTAATTTGAAAGGGAATTAGCAGAGTGGTCTGATATAAACTTATAGGAAACTCACCAAAGAGTATATACTTCATGCTCACACAATTAAGTGTATCACCTTTATTTTACAAATCTAGAGCATGTTAGGAACTTGTGGAATCAATATTTTTTTTAAAAAAGAAATTTTTATCTTTAATTCATTCATTTAACGTTCAGCACATTTACTAAGCATCTACAATGTTCAAAGAACTAGATTATCTTTGTATCTCTGTTGCCAACGTTTACTAATCCTTTGCTAGAAGAATGCCATTAGAAAAGTATTTAGAAATAGCCACATAATGCTTGCATATTTGATCGTAGCATCATAGTTTTAGAAAGAACCTTTGAGGTCTTTGGGTCGAGCTTTCTCCTTACAAATGAAGAAGTTGAAGTCTGGAGAGGGTTGTATGTCTTAACCTAAGTCACACAACTAGTAAGTGTGGGTTTTGAGCCTAGGTTTTTCTAACTTTAAGTCCAGTAGGCTCTCAGCATGCTGACTCTGATGTCTAATATTAAAATCTTATATGTCTCCTTAGGATTTGGAGTTTTACCCTAGGTTGTCCAGGCAAATTCCCTCAGGAATAGATTTGCTCCATATAGTGTTTAAAATTTTTATTATAGAGAGGATATTTTTCCCTCATTAATAACAATTGATAGTTGATTGAATTCCTTAACTGTTTTTCCCTCCACATTCAACAGATTTCCTTTGTAGCCCATCTGCTGCCGTTAAGTATGAAAATATACCAGCTTTCGGAATCAGAGGACTCAGAGTTACACATAGCTACTTATACGATCTATAATATGGAAGCAAGTTCTGGAACAATTTTCAAGATAAAAGAAATGAAATTCAATACAGATGACATAACTATAGAGAACTCATATATAAAACTTGATTTTAGTGGATCTGGATTAATGGAGGTATGTAAAAATAAGTATGATCACTTATCATTAGTGCTTATCATATGCAAAAAAATTACAATATGCAGGAGCCACCTCGCCTCCCTCCCACCCCCCATTCCCCAACCCAGTATATATTGGGAGCCTTATAGAATTTACAGAAGTTACTGGGAGAGAGTCTAGATGGACACTAGTCCCTTGATACTGTAAATTTCCTAAACTAGTCCCCTACTCTTGTATTTTTTCCATGCTATGGAATGACAGTGGCTCTTGTGAAGGCAATTAATATCCTTTCATACTGATCCAACAGGAATCTTTGAAGTTTGCCATAACTAAGTTGTTTGCTTCCTTGTGGTTTTATATTTTCCTTAAATAGGAAATTGAGATAGTGAGATTATTTGTACTTAGAATTTGTGGCAGTTTGGTTGTTAATATTTACAAATGGGGAATTTTCTATCCTTAGAAAATGACTAATAAAGAGGATGGTAAAATCCATGAAGTCAAAGTGGAATTTACATGGTATGGAACCAGAAATGGTAGAGACAAGAGTGGTGCTTATCTTTTCTTACCTGATGGAGAAGCCAAGGTATGTTCTCAATGCTTAAGCACCCCAATACTTTTGGAAGGTTAAGGAATGAGAAAGAAAATTCTTCTAACCTAGGAAAAGAGGTTTGATTCGATGTATAGACCTGAAACTGGAGTCATAAGATCTTGCATTTGAATCTTGATGGTATTGCTTAGTGCCTGTTATATACTATGTAACCATGAGTGTGTCACAACCTCTAATTTCTTTATGAGGAAAAAGAGGGTTGGATAAAATCACCTCTAAAGTCCATTCCAGTGCTTAACTCTGTTATCCCGTAGTCCCATTTATTAATCTTTTCACCATATATTGACTTAAGTTTTGGGCCATATGTTATGTCAGTTTACTTAACCATTTATAATGGAAAACAAGAGTAAATGAAATTTGGAAAATTGATGGAGTTAATGACATAATTTTCTAATTTTTCCCCAATTTTTCAGAATAAAATTCAGTTCAAATTTTACAGTTATCAAAAAAATTTTTACAGTTAACACATTGTCCTCATAAATAGAAATAGTACGGACTGTATGCGATTCTCTGCATGTGATTTTATGTTTATGTGTACACATATTCATGCATTTTGGGTCTAAGCTAGCATTTGGTTATTCATTGACTCATTTGTAGATTTTCTAGGTTCCATGCATTTCTTCTTTCAATCTCCTGCTTCCCATCTTTTAACAATTTGTCTTTTCATTGACACCTATACCATACAATCCAAAGATGATGAAAGAAAATAATCATTTTCTAATTCTTTTGTATTTATTTATCTTTTAGATCTCACTCCTTAAAATGAATATTACTTTGTTTTCATTTGAATTCTATAATTTATTCACTAGGTCTATAATTTTGTCTCTATTTGATTCATAGTATGTTTCTTGAGTAAATGAGAAATTTCTAAATACTATGATGTAGAATAGAGATTTGAATAGTAAAAAGTACTATTGAATATTTGAAAGGGCATGAGGGATAAGAAGAAAAAGAGCAATATTTATACTCCAAAGTCTCTGGAAAATAGAATATGAATGAACCTTAGTAAAAGTTCAGATGCAGAAGCATTACTAAAATGTGTAATAAATTTTAAGTGGTAGCATTAATATTGTCTTAATAGTTGCTTTATGTAGTTGGTGTGTGGTTAGAAAAATAGATATTTTTTTCTTAATCAAGTGTTGGTTTCACTCTATATTTTAAAATTACCCATAAAACAACACTATGATTAATTTTTTTTTAGTTATTTAGTCTTTAACTTAAATGTCAAATTGAAAATCTTATACACAAGCCTTCTAGTATGACCAGAGATGACAGCGAGCTTGCTTTGTTCTATACTTGAATGCAATAAAAGTAAATAGCTTCCTTGAGATAACCTCAGGATGGAGACCTTGAAAGCCCCAGGTGCAAGAGTAATTCCTGACCAGTGTGGTGCCAGTCAGCCATAGTGCTCTGACCTGGGCAACCCAGGACCCTGTTACTCTGTCCTGAGACACCAGAGAAGACCCTAAATATTCCAGCCTCTGAACCTCAAAGGTCCAGAGGAATCCTAACACAAGGGATAGGAAACACTTGTGTCAGCACAAGAGGCTAAAGGATACAGAGAAGGACCATGCACTGAACCTCACTCAAAAGCACAATAGAGATTATAGACTGACTCTGGCATAAAATCTCAGTCCAGGAAGTAAAACTAGAGAGATGAATATATCAAGGAAAATATCATCGAATATCAAAAATTATTGCAAGTCTAACTCCATAACAACTGGAAGCAGAGATTCAAAGAAAAGACTTTTCCACAAGTACTATATGAATACCTAGAATAAATGAATAAAGAGATTATGAAATGAAATCAAAGCTCCTAAGGAAAGAATGTGAAAGAGAATAAGTAGCTTAGAAGAGAAAACAGTAGAACTTAACCAAGAAATAAATTTTCTAAGAACTGGAAGAGACCAAAAGAAAAAATAAATGACTCTATGAAACAGCAAAAAAATGTTAGGGGGGGAAAAACACAAAAGATTAAAAAAAAATAGAAGAAAATGTAAGCTGATTTTTTTTAATGACCTGGAAAACAGGTCAAGGAGAGATAAATTAAAATTCAGATAGCTTAGACCCAGAGAGCAAAGCAAATATAGGGGAAAAAAATACACTGATTATCTCCTGAAAGGAATCTTAACATGAAAAGTCCCAGGAATGTCACACTCAAAATCTAGAGCTCCCAAATCAAAGGAAAAAAATACCATATAAATCCAGAGACCAATTTAAGTAATGAGTAACTACAGTCAAGATCACACAAGACCTAGCAACTTCTACTGAAAATGAAAGGTGATCTTGTAAAACACTATTCCTAAAGGCAAAAGAGAAAAGCCTACTACCAGTAATAATTACTCTGCGAATTTGAGTGTAATTTTACAGGGGAGAAAGTGAATCTTTAATGGAATAGAAGATTTTCAAAGCATTTCTGATAAAAAGATCAGAGTTGAATAGGAACTTTGAAATACAAATACAAGAGTTCAGAGAAACCCAGAAAGGTAAATGTATTTGAGCAATTGGAATAAAACTATATGATGATGTAGTGCTAACTTTCTAATGGAGGAGAAGAAAGTAAGTGTCCCTTAAAACAGTAACTTCTTAAAACAACATTGAAGAGATTAAATAAGAAAACAGAGGTCCTAGGGAGTGGATTGGTTCTGTTCTGAGGGTTTGAAGAGGGGAAAGAAAAAAGGATGAAAGGAATACACTGTTAGAAAGGAGGAAGGTGATGGGGCTTGCCTTTTATCTTAATTAGCATGAATGGAAAGAAAATACAAACATGGAAGAAAGAGTGAGGGAAGTGCGTCTCAGATGAATAAACTTCACTCTTAACCTGAAGTGAACAAAAGAAGGTTGAATACACACAGTTTTGTGTAGCTGTATATCCAGTTCCATAAGAAAATAAGTGGAGATGACAGTCATGGAGAGGGCATTAAGAGGAAAGATAATATTGTGGAAGAAAGGATTACAAAGACAGCACACTTCCTGATCCTGAAGGATTATTAAAAGGAGGAACAGTAGAAAGAAAAATAACTAAAATCTAAAGGACTGCCTTATATTGCCTCTTAGACAGTTGGGGAATGGCTGAACAAATCAATGTAATGTGCTATTGTTGACTCTTATGAAATTATGAAAGAGACAATTATAGAGAATCCTTGGCAGTATGAACTGATTGGGAGTGAAGCAAATAATCAAGAACAGTTTATACAAAGACAACATTGTAAAGTGAAATTACTCTGAAGATACCTCTTATCAAGGCACTGACCAGCCATGTCTCCAGAGTTCCTATGATGAATCTTGCCATCTCCTCTCTGAAAGAGCGGTAGCAATTTCTCTGTAGAGAAAGTATAGAATTGAGAGAGAGAGAGAGAGTATGTGTGTATATCTATGTGATTATTTTATGTATGTGTGAATATTTTAAAACAAGCAACATAAAATGGAGGTTTATGGTTTCATATAGAGTCTTCTGTTTTTGTAAATTTAAAGGAAGTAAAGCCTTGTACAACTTTCAGTTTGGTATTTTTTTTCCCAAGTAAAGAGATAACTTTTCTCTAAAGGAATGTAAAGCTTGACTATGTAGGGTAGATTGTAGTGGTTCCGAGTCTTTTTGATGTAATGTACTTCCAGCCTCCATTCTCACTCTGCTAAAATTTATCCTTCATACCACTACCAGAGTACTCTTTTTAATGAACAGTAGAAGAGGAGACAAAGTAGTATATTGAGAAAATACATAGGATATAATCCATGACTGGAATAGGATACTGAAAAAGTACATATTATTGATAAGTAACAGGATGGGGAAAAATGGAGGCAGGAGAATGGTGTAAATGTAAAGTTCACCTAGGGAAATATACTTATGTCCGGAAATTTAGGTACTTTAGGGTGGAATCGTAGTTGAGAGCATGTAAGTCAAGATCAGTGGAGCAGAAATGAAGTGGATCATATTACACCCCACTTAAATAAAAAGAAGACATAGATGAGGACTTCAGGAAACAGATCCCATATATAGCATGGAGGCCTAGTGTAGTAGTAGTCTTTGAGAGCAGGGACTTTTTTTTTTTTTTTTTTTTGCTTGTTTTCTTTATGTCCCCAGCATCATAGCACAGTGATTGGCACATAGTAAAGACTTAAATGCTTGTTGTCTGACTAATGGACTAGTGATGGAATATATAAAATATCCAGACATCTGCTGGCTTTCTACCATAGCAAAGCATCTAATTATTTCTTTATTGCCTAAATGATAATTTTATACTTAAAAAAGGTAACAGAACCAACAAGGGGAAATTTATTCTTTGCATGATCCTTCTAGCAAGTAGGAACTGGTTGCTTTAGTGAAAATCCTGGGAACTTGGAAATAACTATTTACTCCACTTTAAAATTTGGGATAAAGAAGGTGAAAAAAGCCTGACATAGTTATATTTACCTAAGAATTGGAGATAATAGATTTCAAAGGGTTCAGAAAAAGGCTAAGTTACCTAAAATTCTACAAATGAATTCAACCTAGGAAAGATACAAAGCTCCCCAGAAATGAAATTTAGAAGACTGTAAGGAAAAGGAAGACATAAGAGACCAATGTGAGTTTCACAAGGGAGTCACAATTTTGAAGAAGAGGAAGAGGGAACAGCATTAGAAACCAAAGTAAATGGATGGGGAACTCATCACCAACTTTGGTTTTTAAAAAGATGTCTACAGAAGATGGAAGCAAGAGCAGATTAACAGAAGGAATCCAAAAGTATAATAATAATATTGAAAATAATATTAACATTTATAAATATAATTTCATTTATCCACAAAACAACCCTATGAGGTTGATTCCATTATTATCAACATTTGACATATAAGGGAACTGAAGCACAGAGGGTCACAACTGCACGTAAATGTCTGAGATTGGATTTGAACTTGGGTCTTCTTGATTCCAAGTCCAGCATTCTAACCAATGTGCCATCTAGCTTTCATTCATTTTAAAAAAATAATAGTGTCAGAATTACCAAGGCTCAGAATAAACTGAAACTGAATAAAACTAAAGATAGCGCAGATTATTTTTTAAAAGCTGTTTTGGGGCAGCTAGGTGGCGCAGTGAATAGAATACTGGCCCTGGAGTCAGGAGGACCTGAGTTCAAATATGACCTCAGACATTAGTTGTGTGACCATGGGCAAGTCACTTAATACCAATTGCTATCTCTCTCCCCACTCCCCCAAGAAATAAAAAAAAAAAAAAAAAAAGCTATTTTGCAGTTCAAGGAGAGAGAACAAAAGGGGAAATATAGGACTGATGCTTTAGGTAGTTGGGACAGTGATAACAGAATGTAGAGAAGTGGGATATTCGAACTCTTGGGTTTTTTTTTTCCTCTGCTAAGACAAGTTATATTTTAGATTGGAAAGGACAAAACAAAAATTACTAATAGGAAATTGGTGCCCTTGTATTCATTTTGAGTATATATTTCATTTTTACTTAAGTGTGTTCAGAGTGTAAGCATCTTGAGGTGAGGGAATGTTTGTTTTTGTCTTTATATTCCTAGTACTTAGCACAGTGTCTGCACACAATAGGCACTTAATAAATGCTTCTTGATGAATACAGAGAAATTTTGCTCCTTGCTGCTCTTGATTAATTAAGCCACAAAGTAGAGTGTCATCCGCAGATGTTGAAGATACAGCAGAAATGATACACTGGCAGTGATTTTGAAAAGTTATGGAGGTCCTGCAATATTAAAGAAGGGCCGATATTGTCCCAAATTTAAAAAAAAAAAAAAAATGGAGGTTAGTCCACAAATTCTATACCAGTGGATTTTAATTCCTGGAAACAATTCTGAAACATAGAAGAGATTATTAATGAACATTTACAAAATGATGCAATGATCACAAAATTCAGCATCATTTCATAAAAAACTGGTAGTGCAAGACTAACCTCATTTTCTTTTTTGTTAGGGGATCTGGTAGGTTAGGGGAATGCTACAGATGTAAATCACCTAAATTTTAGCAGAGTGTCCACAGGTAGGGAGCTCTGCTCAGTTATTTCGTTAAAGAGATAAATAAGTATGAGCATTCATTTCAGGTTGAATCAAACTCTACTTAGGTTGTGGGAGCAGATCCCTGAGACGTGAACAGGCAGTCACACTCCAGAACTTTTATTTAGTATTTAATGTTCATTCTGAGGTGTACAGTTATGATAACTCTCATTTCCCAGGGTAGTGGGGCACTGGGAGTTCCAAAAATATCTTGACATAATATTTGACCAAATCTAATAAGATAAGGAGTTAATAGACAAAAATATAAAGACTTACACTTTGATTTTAAAAATAATTTTCTCAAGTGTAAGAGGGAAAGATAAATTTGCCTTAAAAAGACCTAAAGGTCTTTCTTGAAAGATAGTTTGTCTTAGAAAGGCCTAGTGATTTTCCTGGACTGCAAAGTCAATATGAATCAACAGTGTGGTATGGCAGCCAAGAAAGTGAATCCCATCTCGAGCTGCATTAAGAGAACAGTAATGTCCAAAACTAAGGAAGGTTATGGTCCTGCTGGACTTTTCTTTGTTCAGTTGACATCTAAAATGTTTTACTCCATTTGGGACATCATGTTTTAGAAAGGTGTATTTCTTATTTTTTCAAGTGTTCTCCTTGAAAATTTATCCCTAGTTGTGGTCTTTGAGGCAGATAGTAATAGTAATCTCTGTATCACCGAAGAAGTATAGTACACTTTTACAGTCTTTGTTCCATTGGACCCTTATGGCACCATATGGGCAGAGTGGATTTTACCTCCATTTTTCAGATGGAGAAACTGAGGGTCAAGGAGGTTGGAAGGCCTAGGATTATGTGGCTAATGGTACAACAATCTCTTAACACTTTGCCTGACAATCACACCTCAAAGGATCATAGATCCAGAGCTGAAAGGTACCTCAGAGGTCATCTAGTTCAACTCCATCATTTTATAGATGAAGAAACTAAGGCCCAGAGAGATTAAATGATGTTCCCCAGGTCACACAGCAGGTAAGTATTAGAGGTGGTAGTTGAACTCAAGATCCTCTGATTCCAAAACCAATGTTTTTCCCCCACTATACCACACTAATATTATTATTATTGTTGTTGTTATTATCAGACTCCAAAATTCTGGTGCCTGATGGTCAGATGGCTCAACCTCTTCGTATACTTTCATAAAATACTATTTAAACCTAACCTTTCCATATCAGTTTGTCTTGGCAGTTTCAAAGGAGTTATTCTTAACTTTTCATCCCAGTGATTTTGCTGTGTTACCACCTAACATAATAACCGACTAGGGTAGGTAACTTTTTCATCTTTGAAAAAGCTCAAATTATGTACCAATGAGATGGTTTCTTCCAGTGGTCCTTAGCAGTTGGTGTAAGCTCTCACCCCACTTCTTTTGACTTTTAAGGGCAACTCCCATTTAACTTTTTCCCTGTCTGGTTCATAAGCAGAAATGAAAATTTTAATGGGCCATTCTGTCTGTTTGGGTTCCCTTAATTATAAGTATGTGATAGAGGTCTGGCAGGACCAGCACATGTCCTGTCAAATAGCTCACACTTCAGGACAAATGAGGCAGAGGTGAAAGCTTTTAAAGACCTTAAAGTAGTATATATGGTTAACCTGATGGCCCACCTAACATAGCCTTGGGAAACGATGTATCTTTACAGTCACGTTGACTTGGTGAGCAACTGTGGTTTGTGGTATTAGAAGAGAGAATACTTTTCTTAGAATTTAAGAATATATTTTGTAATTTTCTTGGGAAATTACAAAAGGTTAAAGATTTTTCATAAAAATTTAATTTTCTTCCTTCAGCCCTACATTTCTGCTGATCCACCTTTTATCAGAGTGACACGTGGAAGGATTTATTCAGAAGTTACATGTCTCTTTCCTAATTTGAAACACAACGTGCGACTTTATAATGTGCAGGGTAAGAATACACTAAAGCTGTGTTTCCCAAAATATTTGGGCTATGAAACAAATATATTTTTCCTTGGTGGCATAGTGGAAAAGCATAGATTTGGAAGTCAGAAGACCTGGGTTCAGATCTAGGCTCTGCCACTTACTCCCTATGTGGCCTTGGCCAAGTCACTTTTTCCTGAGCTTCAGTGTTCTCATTGGTAAAATCAGATGGATCCTATATCTCTAATGTCTCTTCCAACTCTAAGTCTATGATCTAATGTAGTTCTTTGGTTAAGTAGAACCATTCTGACTTTCCAAGGCAGGGAGAAATGGGACATAAGGGAAAGGTAGTTTGTCATTTTTTAATTCTGAAATAAAATTTTATTATGTTTCTAATTCAGTTAGTAATAAGTGAACAAAAGATTAATCACCTTTTCCCCGGTAAGAATGATAAAGAAATAGAAAAAAGCTCATGATATAAATAATTAATCTAAGTCTTTCTAATCTAGCTGAATTTAAAACTTTTTAATAGAAAATTAAAATTAGAATCATTGAAACATAATAAAATATTAAGTAAAATTTAGTTTACTTCCCATGGCATATTTTTACCCCCAAATAAAAATCCTTTTGAAAATCCTTTTAAAAATTAAAAAACCCTCCATTTTCCCTCTTTTTCCCCTTTATATTCTGAAAAACATGTGGACTCCAGGCCCAGATTGCCATGTAATCATTGCACATAGAAAGTCATTAATAAATGTTTGGATTGAATTGAATCATGGGCTAATCATTTTTAATTATTTCTGAGACTTTGTTTCCTTCCAGTATCTGTTTCATAAGTTAGGTGCAAAGATCAAATGAAATGACAAAGTGCTTTGGAGACCTTAACTCACCAAATAAATGTCAGCTATCATTCTTATTGTTAAAATCGAGAAGAGAAATCTTACTAACCTTGCTTGGTTTAGAGTACTATGTTATGGATCAAATGAATAATGTTTGTGATTATGCTTCTTAAATGTAATGTTACATGTAATTGTAGTCAATAATTATAATTTCAAACCTTTTAAAACTTAAGGCACTACAAGTTCTTCATCCTCCCCTAGGATGGTTTATATACAGCTCGAGTTAAAGTCATATCAGATCAGGGTTATTGGGGAGACTTTAGTGTACTTTTCCTTTTGTTACATTAAATAGCATATATACATATATTGGCAATTAATATTTATATGATGCTTTAAAGTTTACAAAGGAGTTTACATGTGTTATCTCATTTGATCCTCACAGCAGCTGTGAAGTATATGGTAATAATTATCTCTGTTGTACAATAAAGGAAGCAGATAGTGACTTGCACAGGGTAACACTGCTAGTGACTGAGGCAGGTCTTGAACTCAGTTTTTGCTAAATGTAGATTCTGTGCATCACACCACCCAGCTGTTTTTAACTGCTTCTTCTTCTTAACACTTTCAGAGTTAAGAGATTATTTAATCTGTAGGCACTATGAATATTTTCCTGGTGAAATAAAGTAAAAAATTAACTTGCCCTCCAAATTGCAGCTTTATATGTTATAAAAATGTTGTGCTTCCCTTCTTACATCCTCGATGTTATATAAATGCTGTACTTCCCTTCTGCAACCTCAAAGTTAGAATATAGTCCTTGATTCTTTTAGAAAGTCTCTGTATCCCTTTTTGTTAGAATTGATATTGTACCTGCCTAGAGAAACACTTAATTTACATTGACACTATGATCTGTAAGTGACATTTGCTAGCTATGCTTTCATTTGTCTTCGGAGCTGTAATTATTTCACTGAGTGTCCTAGTTTCTGACATCAAGAGTTGCTTTGAAGTTTTAGGTTGCTATGGGTTACCAGCCTTTTATATATATTTTCCAATGCTGACAAAAGGGTTCAAGCCTCAGATCTGTTATGATGTATGTCTTCACATTTTCACAAGGCAGATATTTTTTGTGAGTATAAATTATGGTCCTAGTTATCATCACTCTGATGCCCTTAGGAGAAAATTTCTAAATATTTCTGCCTTATCTCTCACTAACATATTAAAAAACAGTGCTTGTGATGAATTTCCTGAAAGAAAACAAGTAGCTTGAAGGCAAAATGTAATGAACTGTTTCAGAAACTTTTTGGTTTGAAATGATTGGGTAATTTCAGTACTTGGAAGTATTTAGCAGTAAAAGAGTGCATGTAAAATTTTTCTACAATATAAATTTCAATATAATTTTTAGAAATAATTAATCTGTGACCTTTGGCTTTTGGAAACATCATAGACTTAAAATAATTTTAATTTCTTCAGAGCCTAATAGAATTCTACCAAAAAAAAAAGAAATGAAAGTCAGGATATTTGGCAGTCCTTGCTCTATTACTGACTTAATTGTGTGACTGGGCAAATTTTTTAACCTTTCTGTACCTCAATTTTCTTATCTGTAAAATGAAGAAATTGGAATAAGGCCCAAAACAAGATTAAAAACCCCTTCTAGCTTTCATTTTCTATTCAAAAAATTTCACTACAGATATTATAATCCAGTGGTTTTGTAAACTATTATTTTCATTCTGTGTAGTAGATTATAGAGTCTGTTCTAAGGTACTTCATTTTACTGATGATAATTGTTACTGAGTCTTCAACCTTAGTCACGTTTTGCTTATACACATTTCTAAAGTCTCACTGATTTAGTATATGTTGACATTGGCATTATTACATGTTGGAAATTTGAACACAATAGCAGTTTCCTACTTAGGTGCTTCTTTAAAAACATATTGTATGTTTATTTAGCATACAAAATCAACTTGTTACCAACATGAGAGCAATTTCCAAATCTTCTTTCTGTATACCTTCAGACCACCAACTTGTTGAGCAAAGGACAAAACATTAATAAATTAGAAAAAAAGAAGAAAGGTGAGAAATTTATATGTTATAAGAAATGGATAAAAGAACATATGTTAACACAAATTATCATCATTTTTTCCTTTGTGAGTTTGACTAGTATAAATCCATCACCATGATGTGACCAAATAAGAGTAGACATTTGAAAGACTTGTTCTTGCCAAACAGGTGTATAGCAGTCAGTGGCAAAACCATTTAGAATATCGAGCAATATCGCTTCATAATACAGTAAAGAATACTAGAAGAAAAAACTAAGTTTACAGAAAGCTTGACAAGAGATGCAGTAAAACCAGGTTATCCCCAAGACATATAAGGATGAAGCCAAAGAACAACAAATAAACAAAAATGTAAGAGGTGAATAGCCATAAAAATTTTTTTTCTTTATCAGCAACTACTGTTGCTTGTCAGCAGGCAATTATAATTTCACCAAGTTTACAAGAAACTAAGTTTATTACAAGAGAAATGAACATGCACGTGGAAGCCAAAGATTTCACACTCTATACAGAAGTTGCATTTTTGTAACAGCAGGACAAAGGGAAGAAGAGCTACCAGAAATCTCCACCTAAAGGGGTGTGGCGTAGCGGGGTGGGAGGCCGGGAAGAGGAGCAAGTCAGTGGTAAAAGCTGTACTCTTTTCCCTTGGTAATTGCTAGACTATGAAGGTAGGATGGGCTGCTTATCTACAAGGGGCCCAGCTGCACAATCAGTTTTTCAGCCTAGTGCAAACTGATTGGCACCTTCGTGTCTCCCAAGGACACAGAGAGAGTCCAGTTTGGGATACATTATGTCAGCTCAGGGAGAGCTTCATCCTTGACATATTCAGGGCCTCCTGCAGAGTCTGGATCCAGTGTTTCTGGAAAATTTGGTAACTCGAAAGACAAGCCCAGGGGACCCTTTAACATTCCTCAACAGCCTCAGATATATAGATTTGAACCTCACAGTCTCCATTGTGTGACACAAGTAGAAATGACACAAAAGAAAATAAAGCTAGATCAACTAACATCAAAGGTGTTCCTTGCTCAAGGAGATAATCATTTTAAGGACATTTCGGGATTGATAGTGAAGATATCTGAGGGAGAAAGGATACTAAATAATTTTTAAAGTCAAAGATTTTATCATTTCAAGAAATAACTAAGAAAATATTAAAAACTGTTTACTCATGCCTGCTTTTCTATCTCTACAAAATCTTTTAAAATCTGTATATTCATTATGGGCATCCTTGATCTCAGTGTAAAAGAGAATAATTATATTAGGCTTGGAATTGCAAATATGGCTTACTTATTTAGTGAGTGAGAGATAACTGATATATAAGTTACTCAATAGTCCAGATACTCCTTTGGTATCCTCAACAAGCAAAACCTTCAGCACTTTGGAATGTATCCCTTGTGGAGTATTTATAAAAGAATATGAACAGATTGCAAGAATAAGAATGCATCAGTGTCATAATCTTTACTATTTTTGAACTTTTTTTATTAAATTAAATATTTCCTCATTGAATGTAAAAAGCTTTTTTTTTTTTTTAAACATTCTGTTGAGAAGGCAGGCACTGTGATATCTATGTTACTTGTGAAGTTATGTAAAACATATTTCCATGTTAGCCATGTTGCAAATGAAAACATACAGGGAAAAAAAACACAGAAATTAAAAGTAAAGTAAAGTGCTTCAGTCTGCACTCAGATCATTAATTTCTTTGGAGGTGGATACCATTTTTCATCATGGGTGCTATAAAATTGTCTTTATCAGAATAGCAGAGTCTTTGATAGTTGCTCATCCTTATAATATTTTTTTCTTTTTATTTAATTTTTCCATGTGCCAGAGTTTCCCAGACTTTTTTGGCCTACTGCCCCCTTTTCAAAAAAAAAAACAAAAAACCAAACTTTACTCAACACCCTTCTGGAAATCCACTTTCTTTAACCCATTTATATATATATATATATATATATTTTTTAAATTTGTGTCATTTCAAACCACTACGGCCCCCCTGAATCTTTCCAGTCCTCTCCAGGGGGTGTTATCTCCCTCTTTGGGAACCTGTGAACAAACATTTTTAACTTTGTGGTTTTTTCTTTTTTTAATTTTGGCTCAGTTCCCTATATATCTGCGAAATGGGGTCTTTATCACAGAAATTTGCTGTAAAT